ACTTTTCCACATCTCCTTCCTCCAGAGGTGGGCTGGAGAAAGGGTCAAACAAATAGAGGCAGAGAGAATGAGGGGAAAAAAAACCCACCCAGCCAATCATAACTCTGTGTATCCAGCTGAAGCAACCAAAATCAACTTCACAGGGAAGAGCATAATCGCAGCTAGGGAGTGGAAGGTCACTTGGGTTTATTTCCCGGAAGAGCTAACAAGTTAATTTACAAAGCTATCAGGAGAGCCATAGTGATGAATGTGCATTATTGATGCAGCCAAGCTACCTCTTCTTGTTCCTCACAGTACACCAAAAATAGGAGCGATACACTTTTCCTGTCATTTGTACTTAAGATGGAGTAGTGACGCTGAGTGACTGCTGGGAGCCAGAATTTTCCATCCTATCTGAATTTTTCATTTCATATATACTTGAAATGAATTTTAAAGACGGGCTCAAATCTTTGCCCTTCTCCCCGATAAAAGCTTTAGGATGGGGGAAGGGCGGACACGGTAATGAGGAATGGGACAATTTGCATGTGTTTAAATGACCTGGACCTTCTCAGGCTGGAAGGCAGGAGATTTTTCTCCTTGATACGACCTGAAATCACTTCCCGGAGCTGTGCTTGCCATTTTTCCTTGTTAAATAAATGAATCATAGCTACATTAGTACCTTTGAGAAAGTCTTCCTTTAATTTAAATCTATCTTATAGCTATCTTCTCATTTTGCAATCAGAACATCCACTGGACAGGAATTGTCTCTTCCATAGAATGTCACAAAGATTTAGTAATTGAAGGACCTCTGCCCTGAAGATGTCAATAAATGCACATGGGACCAGAGTTCTAACAAACACACTCAATGGCGGTTCTTTCCTCTCTATGCTGTTAGTTTATACACAAAACAAAGACAAGCTTAGAGTTGAAACTAAACAGAGACAACACAGGACCTGGTGGCATAAGTCTTGTGTGTGTGTGTGGGGTGGGGGTGGGGGGGTATTATCAGAGGTCAGAGTAAAGAGTCATTGGGTTTGGATGGTGGAGAACAGAATATGGGCTCCAGCCTTTGCTGCCCTAGGAATGTCATAGTTCCACACCTCCACCAAATTGCAGGGTTTGAGTAGCACTGCTCAGAGAGGAAGACTCTCAGTGAGACAGGCCCCACAGGGTGACAGCTGAGTGGCCATGAGTAGCAATGGGCGTTCACCCTTAGTGAACCCCATTCAGCCCATCTCCTACCAAACTAGGCTAGGTGGGCACAGGAGGACACAGTATCCAGAGTGGACACATGCATGGAGGCTGAGGCTGTCATAAGGCCTATGCTGAGATGGCCATTACCTTCCTTTCCCATGTCCTGTCTCCATCAGTGGCCCTACTGTGGAACCCAGAAGACGGGACATCTCTACAGCCACTTGCTGAGTGAGTCCAGCAGGGTAAGGCCCCGGCTTCCCCAGCCCCATCTGTACCTGGCTGTTTCCCACAATTCCCCCTCATGTGTGCTTTGTAATCCTTTCAAACCCTTCCCTTGCTTCTGGAATTCACTGCAGGAAGTTTCCAATATTTGCAAAAATGTGTTAGGGGGTGGGGACATGCTAGGCATTAACCACAGACTGTTACTTTTTTGAGACACTCTTGGGGGTTGTGAGGGAAAAGAAAGCTCTTCTTCCCCTCATGCCTCATCTCCCTTCAGCCAGACACGTGGGAAGAACCAACTAAACTCCAGGTGGACTGTCACCGACCCAGAAGGACAGTAGCCATTGCTGTCCTTGTCCTTAAATGTGTCTGCAGAGCCAGAAAACCCAAGAGTTGCACGCATAACCAACTTTTCTCTGGACCTTGCAACCCCACATGAAGAGCTCTGACATTACACCGTGACATACTAACAAATGAACCTTAAACACGCCTGCTAATTAATTGTGCAAACAGATTTTCACGGAGAGCGTTAACTGACTTATGAGACAAGAAACCATTTTCAAACAGATTACAAGTATCATTTACATATAAGCCAAATCAATGAAATATAAATGGAGGCTAAGCTGCTTTGATCCACTAATCACTTGTATCTGACCATTAAGAATGTCTTTACAAAGCCGGCTAATGGTAGTTAGTCCTGTGTACATTCAGTCGTGTTAAGTGAGTAATTCTGACTTCCCCTCGAGGCAGGGTCCTCCCTATTGGCTTGAGTCAGTGCCATTCTTGGATTGCCTGGAAGAAGGCACAAGGTGTTAAATGCTATGAGGACAGCCACTCCTTTATGCCCATCCCTGAGGCACCGGACCCACACAGTAGGTGCACAGGAAACACTTGTATGTGCCAGGAGCTGTTCTGAGAGCTGAAGATCCTACTATGGCATCCCAAAGGCCGAAGGTTAAGGCTTAGAACACGAAGTGGTTTTAGGCAATTCAACCAAGTCCATCTACTTCAAACATATAAGTAGCATTAATTATTTACGCTCTATATTAAACTCAACTGTATTTCTTTGAGACATTAAAATGTAAAGGGTTATCTGGGAAGAGAGCCTCTCTGTGGTTTTAACATCAGGTATATTACTAGCACTACACTCAGAGGACATAGTCCCTCCAGCTGTCACTTCCTTCCTGTCACTGTTCCCCAGGAGTCAGCACAAGAGGAGGGAGGGCTCAGGTGCCGTGTGGCCACCAATCAGACAGCAGCCACACCGTCTCTCTCATGACTCACAGGCTGAGGCCCACGACATTTCCATGGCAAACTCAGGTCTTCGGTTGCATTTCTGAATTGCAAATGGGCGAGATGGATAATATCTTTAATATCAAATGCTAAATATATGATTTGCTAACTATACTACCAGGGATGATGCACATTGGACACCCTTACACGTAGGTGGAACATCCAGTGAAATCCAGATTGTCCCCATGCTCTTGAACATCCACACTGTTTCTCGACAGTGCTTGGTCACTGCTGGCTACAAGAACGCTCTCTACCGCTTTGGGCCCAGAATTAGTGCCCTGTCTTGGATCTTGGAATTACAGGGAGTACTTTAGGGATGTGGACAAAGGGCACAGGAGGCCTTAGACTGAAGGCTTAGGCCTAGTCCCACCTGAAGAAACATCCACATAGACTCTGTCATGCTAGAGTGAGAGATGAAGGCAGCGTGTCTGGAAGGTTCTACTGTACATATCCTAGATAGGGCCAGGGTGGAATGTCTGATCTCCCTGGGACGGCCAAGTGTCTGGCACCTTTCCTAAGAGATGCCATGTAAATGTCCACAGTCAAGGAAGAGTAGGCTGTTAATTAGAAGCAAGATAAAGAAGGGGGTGGCAACAGGCTTTCACCTTGTCCCCGTGGCCTATCTCTGACATTCCAGTCCCAACACGTTAACAATTAAATGTCCTTGCACACTTAAACATGTCTGTGGTGGGTCACCTTACACTGTGTGCACTTATCACAATTAAAGAAGGAAATCCCTGTGGTCACTCAGACCCACAGCTCTTAGTAGCTCATCCCAGAGACACCATGCCTCCAGTGTAGACACCATGGCCCTTTCTCAGTGGTTTTTCGCCCTCGGAGTCCAATCTGAAAGAAACATTCTAGACCAATCTGCCTTCTCCGCTGGCTTCCACATGCTATAAGGATGGAGAAGCCCCCACAGACTGTTGCCTAAAGTCTGTCTTTACCTCTGGACCTGAAAATTTCTCAGTTGGCACTTATCTACCAAGAAACACCATGAAAAATTCCAAAACTGGATGCATTCTAGTATAGTGACCATTGCTCTATCTAATCTCATTTTAAAATCAGTTTTGCTTTGGGGAAGAGCATCATGAAGTAAGAGCTTCTCAGTGGGATGGTGGTACTGGGGGTACACACTGGAAAGAGGAGAAACAGGAAGCAGAGAATGAGGGAGGTTGGGCACAGGATGCAGGGTCATTCTGCAAGGACCATGGTCATCTAGAGACCATAAATTGGGGCACAATCAAATTTTGGTGTCAAAAGGACCAGAATTAGTAAAATCACGGTCTCCACAGTGCAGCTGAGCTTTCTTAGCATGACCAGCTAGTTTCTGAAACAACACCCAAGGCCAAAGTGAGGTGCCACGTTCTGTGTACATCTGTACTCCAAAGGAAATAATGAAGAAAATCGCTGTATCTCTCCAGCTCCATGTTTTTTTGAAAGTCCCAGCTTATTTTCCCACTGAAGATTAAGTTGTAAACTACTTCACCCAGACGTTTATCTTGGGAGAGAAAGAGTAAAGAGCTGACATTCAGAAATAAAGTTATCATACACGTGGCCTGGCAGTATCTTGTAACAGACTTCCCTTGCGTCTTTCTAAGTCCTTGTGACAACTCCAAACTGCATTTCTTGGCTGGAATTTCAAGGCTGAAACACTCCCCAGAACTCACACCGGTGGTCTGGTTCAGAAGCAGAAGTCACCACGTCTTTGAAGGGGAGAAAGACTCAAAAGAGCCACGGGGAAATTAAGGAGTGTCTTGGTCTTGGTCCCCTGTGGCTCTGCTCCTGGCTTTCGTGTCTGTTTTTGAAATGGCTCCACAATGCAAAGCTGTTTTCCTCCTGACCCAAATCAAATCAGATCCCCAACTTAATGTACGATGCAATTTGTGTGGCTAAAGAAAACTTGATGGTCTCTCTAGTTGCCAAGACACTCTGTGAACAGCAGAAATGGACAGACCTCACAGATCTGTGTCATTTCCCCACATGAACTTCCATTAAAACATCAGGCACAGTAAGAGAAGAACACCAGGAAGATCTAATGATAACAAGGTACAGCAGCAAAAGTTATTCTGAGCTTCTTTGTTGTTTTCTAGAATTTTCTATGATTACTTTCAATCAGGGATTGACCCTGCGTGAATAAACTTGCAGAAAGCGCGAACACTGCTACCTCCAAACCGACTTCATTGTGTCTCTTTTCATCCCTGGTACCTCCTCATTTTAGCCAAGGAGAGCTCGCAGTCGCTCTCTTCTTTCCCAGCCTGCCCCGAGCCCCACACACAGAACCGACGGCAGAGGCAGCCGCTGGCACCTACCTTGCCCATGCCAGGAGTGTCCTTCACCTTGTTGACAGCCCTCAGAAGACAGGGTGGGGCCGGGGGAGGCGAGGTCTGCAGGATCCCACTGAAGCTGGTAGCAAAGAGGGGAGCCTCTGCAGCAGACGGAGTCGAAGGTCGGTGTTTCTTCTTCTTGGAGGACAGATTTAACTTCTGGGCAGCTCTGCACAGGGACAATAAGAAGGAGATGATGCTGCAGTCGGAAGCATTGGGCTGGCTACTTCTCCCCTTTCTCTTAAAGGTCCCCTTTAATGATCCCTTCTGTCTCCATTCTTGGTGCCCTGTAGCCCTTTGCTACAGCATGGGGAACTGAATTAATAAGCTGTGTAATCATCGAGACAGGAGGAAGGAGCTATAAGATCACATGGCTCCAAGATCACAAGTTACAAAGACCTGTTTGCTCTCCCCAACGCTCAGTCTGAGCATGAATGAAACCGGCCATCTTTGGAGGATACGCAGCACCTATTTCATTAATCAACCCCGGCCCCCAATTTTTCTGGTGTAAGCCCAACTGTAAAAAACCACATAACTTTTACACCTTGTAAAGCCCAAGCCAGTCTGACGGAGAACCTGGTAGTGACCAATCGGGGCATGCTCTGACTGTGGAAGCAAATTCTGACCCCCAGCACGCTGGAGAGACCGAAAGCATATTGGTGTGAGAAATGGAGAGCCAGAAATATCCACTACAGTGAGGTGCAGGGCACGAGACTACTGTCTCCTCGGCTGGCTAATGGACTCTTGTGTAGGGCAGTCTTTAAGTACACGATGCTATGTATGGGAGAACAAGGAAGGAGGGGTCAAGGTAACAAAGTGGCACAGAAGGTACAGATGGGGACAATTGGAAGGGTGCGGTTGCCAGCATCATTAACAACACCACATCTTCCGTCAGTCAAGTGCACCGTGACGCTTAGGATGTGATAATCCTGCTATAGAAAAGAAGAAACAAGGCAAGCATGGTGTGAGACGAAGGCATTGCACACACCCTATTAGACTCATTTCTAAATTAATTCTTGGAGTATTGCACCATGTCTTCCTCTATAAATATATAGGTATATGTGTGGTTTTTAATGGGGGCAGGGGCAGAAGGCAGTCTTACTATATAGACCTGGCTGGCCTTTAATTATTCGTGTGTATGTGTGTGTGTGTGTGTGTGTGTGTGTGTGTGTGTGTGTGTGTGTGTATGGGAGGCATTGAAAGGTGGTGCTTACTCCCTTATATCAAGAATTCTTTTCAGAATGGAGAAAAGACTGGCTATGGCTATGGCCACCCACTGGCCACCATCACCTGGGGCAGGGCTGGTGCCAAGGAACAGCTTAGAAGAGGTTGTGTCTCTGCCATGCATGGCCATCTCATGTGACCCACGAGTTAGAGAAGCAGGCTTCCTTGCAGCTAAAGGCCACGCGAGGGTGACACGCAGGTGTCCCTGCCACATGCTCCACCTCTACTCTCTACTAGATCCACCCATACAGCACACAAGAACTCGGCTCTTTGTCTCTTTTAGAAACTAAAGCCCACGTGACCCTTCTGCAGCTAGCTGTGGTGTTGTCCTCACTCATTTGAGCCAAATTCCCAGCAAGCGCCACCTGTCAACCCCTCATCCAAGCCCCCTCCTTGCATTCTATGCAAGCTCATTTGTTAGGCATCTGTCCCCAACCCTCTGAAACTGCTCAGATAGTTACCCATAACCGCATGAGTTACCCATAACCGCATGATGGCTTCCATGCTCTCAGCCCCTACCTGGATCTGTCAGAGCTAAGAATGCATGCATCCTTCCTCCCTGCCCCCCAAGCTTCCAGAACACCCCCATTCTTGTGGTGATATTGTGTCCCCCAATATATCGTGCACCCTAATAAATTTATCTGAGGTCAGAGAACAGAACAGCCATCTAGATAGACATAGAGGCCAGAAAATGGTGGCACTCACACACCTTTAATCCTATCACTTGGGAGGCAGAGATCCATCTGGATCTCTGTGAGTTCAAAGCTACACTGGAAACAGCCAGGCATGGTGTTTAATCTCAGGAAGTGATGGCAGGAAGCAGAAAGGTATATAAGGCGTGAGGACAAGGAACTAGAAGTCTTTTTAAGCTTTTAGGCTTTTGAGCAGCAGTTCAGCTGAGATCCATTCAGATGAGGACTCAGAGGCTTTCAGTCTAAGGAAACAAGATCAGCTGAAGAATTGGCAAGGTGAGGTTGGATGTGGCTTGTTCTGCTTCTCTGATCTTTCAACGATCACCCCCAATACCTGGCTCCTGGGTTTGTTTTTATTAACAAGACCTTTTAAGATTCGTGCTGCACATTCCCTTCCAGTGTCCTTTTCATAGGGGTCACAGGGCTCAGTCCCTATTTCTGTGCGGTCACTGATGTTGGCTTTGGAGATCACATCTTCAGCCTGTGACTCCTCCAGTGTTCTGTCCAGCTTAGCCCCAAGCTCCCTATTTATTTATCCAAACGCCTCTTCAGCACTCCCACTTGAGTAATAAGCATCACTAACTTGCCACCCCTAAGACTAAAGGGCTCATCACCTTCTGCGCGGCTCTTAGTCACTCATCCCTCCTTGTTTCAGAATAAAACAGCCCCGCTCCCCGGGCACCCAGACCTTGTCTCACACAACACAACTCTCCACCGCAAATGTTATCCCCTATAACTTAAACTAGACCCAAGACCCTCTCACCACTTCAGATTCTCATGTTTCCTATCTCGCCCACCACACACCGTTCCCTTTGATTGTTAGGCAATAAACATTAAAATTAGGTCACCCATACTAGTCTCCAACACTCCCAGTACATTCCCACCTCCCATTCCTAGCCCTGCCCCAGGGAGACAAGCATGTGGCCCACTCCCGTGCCTCCTTTAAATCCTGGTTGAAATGTCACTTTATCCACACGTTTACCCTGACCACCATAGAGGTCAGTAGTTTGTAAAGATGGTTCTGTCAATATGTTCTTACAACCTGGCACCAACTGTTGAAAGATGGGGTCTGATTTCTTCCTTTTAGATTCTGAGAGGAAATCTGAAGTTACTTTGGTCTGCATAATGTAATGGAAGAGGTGTTGTATGACTTTCAAGGTTGAGTTACCAAGGGTGATGTGGTTTTTGTGAAGGCTACATGGAAGCCCAGGTCACATGTGTAGACTCCAGAGGACAGATTCATGAGTAAAGTATCCTTTAGATGATTCCTGTCACACTTTCTGCCAGGGTCTCAGATATCAAGGAGCAGACAGAAACCTCGCCTGTCACATCTTGTCTCAATTTCCAACCCCCAGAAACCACGAAAGCTAATAAATGATCATTATCACTTTGAGCCCCTAGGTTAGAGGTGATGCCTAGCAACAGCCACAGAAAAGGGATTGCTCACTCGCTGCTGCATGGCTCTTGCATCAGGATTGAAACCTTCCACTTTTAGAAAGAGACAGACTCACAAAGTTCAGGGACTCAGTCCTAAGACTCAGGTCATGAGACCCGTCCCTGGGTTATCTAGGCAGCACACAGCTGCTGGGAAAGAAGACTTCATAATGCTCTCTGCAAATCGTATGGGGGATCCCAGGGATGCAGCTTTCAAAATGGTCACCCATGCTGGGGTGGGTTTTACAGTGATAGAGCTCCCCCAGCCAGCCATGATCCTGTAGTGACACCTCGCCAGTGCTCCTGGGAGTAATGTCTCACTATGCTCCTGGGAGTAATGTCTCACTATGCTCCTGTGAGTAACCCTTCACCATTCTCTTGAGAGTGACCCCTCACCATGTTCCCTGTGAGTGACCCCTGACTATGCTCCTGTGAGTGACCCTCATGCTCCTGTGAGTGACCCCTCACCATGTTCCTGTGAGTGACCCCTCACCATGTTCCTGTGAGTGACCCCTCACCATGCTCCTGTGACCCCTCACTATTATCCCATGAGTGACCCCTCACCATGCTCCCGTAAGTGACCCTTTCCCATGCTCCCATGAGTAACCCTAATAAACTCACTAGCTCCTCAAGATGGATTCGGGTGGAATTTGTTTTAACTTGTATTCTCCCATCTATGGAGGTGAGTAGAAATAGATGGCCCCCAAAAGCACCACAATCTCCCCCTCAACCAAAGTCCCAGTTCCTGTTACTTTGATCATTCCCAGGCAAGCCTCTGACCTTCTAATGTAGCACATGGTTTACTTAGTTATCTGTTTAGTATCTGTTCACCTTAAAGAATAAAAACCCCAACAGGACAAGGGCAAGAAGCACAAAATGTTTGTTGGATGACTAAATGAGTGAAAAAAAAGGGAGGGAGGTTATCCTGGAGAAGAGAAAACTGGAGAAAGAAAGAGTCCTCTAAAATTAATTAATTAGTTGTAACAAAAACAAGTTTGTTTAGTTTCCTGCAAAAAGAACAGTGGACACAGTAGAAACAGAAGGCCCACCTCTAAAAGACACCAAAGACAAATAAATGACAAACAGAAGAGGTGCCTATCAAGCAAGGATGCTAAATATGTTCCCTGGCTACTTTTTGAATCCTAGAGGAAGAGATTATAAGGAAGACATTACCCCCACTTAACATGAAATGAAGTCAGCTCCAGGGGTCCTTTGGTACCTAACCTGAGTTTGAACAAAAAGCTTCTTCGGCTACTGTGCTGGTTAATATTCCTGTCACCTTGACCAGAACTAGAGATCTAGAATCACCTAGGAGACAAGTCTCTAAGATTCCTGTGGGGAATTATCTAGCTTAGGTAGTTGAGGTGGGAAAAACCCATCTTAACCATGGGTGGCATTAGGCCATGGGCTGGGGTCCTGAGCTGGATAAAAGGACAGTATGCTGATCGCTCGCATTCATCTGCTTCCTGACTGCAGATGCGATGTGACCAGCTGTCTCACACTCCTGACCCCATGACTCCCCCACCATGACGGACATCAATACCTTTCATATCCCCTGCCATGACAGACATGCCATATCCTCCATAAATTGCTTTGGTCAGGGTATTTTGTCATGGCAATGAGAAAAGTGACTAATACAGATACTAAGTAGGTAATCGTAGGCAAACTGATTAAATTCTGACAATGTGTTCACATAGTGTCTGGCACATCATTATCATTTTTATTATCATCACCATCACTTTGACTGTTACCAAGACTTGGTTTTTCCACAGTAAGATTCAGAAAAAAAATACTATCTGCTTTTATAGGCTCTTTTAGG